TCCGTTTTTCAGCACACGGCTTCTGAAATTTTCATCTAACGCCTCAATATCGTTGAATATTTTTACCTTTATTGCTAAATTATCACGTTTTGTCTGTTTGAGGATTCACATGCCATTTCGAAAGTATATAAAGGCCACACACGTGGGTTTTCGGATAGATTTACGAGAATCATTAATAGCTCAAATCGTTATCACATGATTAAAACACAACCACCCATTCTTGACTACATTCAGCTCGCCCTGGATAAAATTCCGAAAAAAGTCTAAGTTCTTGTAAGGTATAAAACTCGTCAATAAATGTAGCTAATGATCCTGTGACATTCCATGTGTTATAGAAAAATGTGTTATATGATATGTGAAATGTTGTATGTGTTATACGATATCTGTAATGTTATATGAGAAATATGATATGTGATATGTGGTATGTGGCATGTGGTATGTGATATGTGGTATGTTGTGTGACTCATATGTTATTTCTGTTATGTGTTATGCAGTGTGTGGTATGTTATATATGATATGTGATGTGTGGTATGTTGTGAGTCATATGTAATTTTTGTTATGTGTTATGCAGTATGTGGTATGTTATACATGATATGTGATATGTGGTATGCTTTATCCAACCAAAGTTGGCATTCATGGTGACTCACACATTTCCATACCTAAAAGAACGTCTACACCCTTCCTCAACACGGCCTTTAAAATCTTGCACTACACGGGACATACGTGTTGCAACCAAACAAATACACCAATTTCATATATTTTCGACAAACATGGCCAAGTAATGTCCATAAATAGAGTTTGCAAACTGTCCATAGAACGGATTCGAACCGGTAGAAGAAATTAGGGTGTCATCATTGATGGGAACAAGATTGGTGCATTTCAGCATTGTTGATGATGTTTACGTTGTGACGTAATAAACTCACCGTCAAAAGGAACGCGAACCATAGAAACATACAGTAAACTACGGTTATAACGAACTCAAAGGGACCACTAAGCTTAGTTCGTTATAACCGTAGTTCGTTATAAGCATATATACAGCATAAATACAACAAATGGCCGGGACTAAAAAATAAGTTCGTTATATAGGTCAGTTCGTTATAAGCGTGTTCGTTATAACCGTAGTTTACTGTACAGATAAGTATGTAGGTTAAGAAGAGAAGTTTCCAATGTGTACCACTTAATGACAAAACTAACAATCAGTCAAGCATGATCACAAAATGCTTTCGCCTCTTTTGCACACACGTGTCTTGCACCATCTCTGATGACATTGACCATATCGTTTTTCCTAACTTTGAATATTAATGGGGGTAAAAGGTAATTTACTCTGCAATTGTTTGTAGTTTTCGTATATACATTAAAATGCCAAGCCAAAAGAAACGCGAACCATGGAAACATATAGAGAAGTATGCAGGTTAAGGAGAGATGTTTCCAAGGTGTACCAATTAATGACAAAAACAAAAATACCTTAGAAGAACTTAGACTTTTTTCGGAAATCTGTCCAGGGCGAGCTGGATGTATTCAAGAATGGGTGGTTGTGTTTTGATCATGTGACAACGATTTCAGCTATTAATGTATGTATTAATGACTCTCGTACAACTCTCCGAAAACCCACGTTTGTGGACTTTATATACTTTCGAAATGGCATATGATTTCTTAAATAGACAAAACGTGATAATGTTTCAATAAACTTAAAAATATTCAACGATATTGAGGCGTTAGATGAAAATTTCAGAAGCCGTGTGCTGATAAACGCATGCACTACTGAATAGTTAACTGTTATGCCTGTGATATTTTCTTGCCTTCTTGTTGAATTTTTTCATAATTTAAACGATGAACGCCATGAAACTCCACATAAACTGCGGCAAGGAGAGGAGTGGTTGGTGTAGTTGATAGGAATCTTGGCGTGATGGTGGTGTAGATGATGTAATTGTTGGGGTTGTGATGTTGTGGATAGAATTCTTGGGTTGATGTTGATGTAGGTGATATGACTGTTAGGTTGATGGTGGTGTAGGTGATGTGACTGTTGGGTTGATGGTGGTGTAGGTGATGTGACTGTTTTGTTGATGGGAGTGTAGGTGAAGGGACTGTTGGGTTGATGGTAGTTAGGTGATGTGACTGTTGGGTTCATGGTGGAGTAGGTGATAGGATAGAAGGGATGACGGTTGTTTAGGTGAGTGACACTTTGGTTTGATAGAGGTTTAGGTGATGAGACTGTTGTGTTGATGGTGGAGTAGGTGAAAGAATAGTTGAGGGGATGATTGTGTAGGTTGATGGAGATTTCGGGAATGGGAGTTTTGGGATGATGGTAGTAAAGCACTAACTATATGAATGGAATTTCAAAAAGATATACCGTAACGCTTATTTGTTGTTTCCCATAATGAAGCATAACTGGAATATTGCTCGCACTTCGCTAAATCCCATTTACTCAATCAAAGTGATAGACTGTAATGAACTGCAGCAACATTCATTTTACAGCTTGCACAAAGTGGCGGTATCTGAATCTGTATTGCTGGTGTCTGCAATTGTTTAAACATGTGCACCACATTGATCGCTTGAGAGTCATCGTCGTCATGTATAAAATGTCACGTGATGTCCCGAAAACAACTGCTGCTGGTGATATCTTAACCGTTCAAGTGCAGTCTCTGGCAGTGGCCTTAGCGTGTGGATCCTGCATTCCCCTGTTAACAGTTCAAGATGATGACGCTGGTTTCAAGTAGAAGTCTGCAGCTGTTTTTAACAACTGTTTACATAATGTTGGCACTGTCCACATGCAGCACAAAGGAATGTAGACTTCAGTTGACAGATAAAATGAAGGACAGATCTCTCATTTTCAATAATATTGACATCGTGTTGTGCCAACTTGAATGTATCAATGATATTTTTTATTTTCGCATCATGTTCCCAATCAAATGATGAATCCCAGAAGATTGAGAAGATGGGCGGATCCAGTGTTCGTCCTGAAACTCATCCACGTGTAAGTTATATTTATGTCAAGTATATTGACGTGTATCAGTGTACCTAGATGCGTTCATGCTTGTGTATTTACAGATGTAGGTGTAGATGCATGTGTCTGTGTATACTTGATGTGTGTCGGTGTGTATACATATGTGTAAGTTTGTGTCGGTGTGTGTAGATGTATGAAGATGTGTGTCCATATGTTTAGATGTGTGTTTCGGTATGTAGAGTTGATTGGATGCGTGTCAGTGTTTGTCGGTGTGTGTAAATGTGTGTCGGCGTGTGTATATGTGTGTCAGTGTGTGTAGATGTGTGTAGATATGTGCACGTGGAGGCGTATGGAGGTGTGTGTCAGTGTATGTGCATGTGTGTACAGATGTGTCTGGATGTGTGTGTACATGTGTATATATGTGTGTATATGTGTGTCAGTGTGTTTAAGTATGTGCACGCGGAGGCGTGTGGAGGTGTGTTGGGGTGTATATGTGTGTGTAGATGTGTGTAAATGTGTGTCAGTGTGTTTAGATATGTGCATGTGGAGGCATGTGGAGGTATGTGTTAGAAATTCAAACGTTATGTTAATTGATTGGCAGACGCCCGAGATCTTCCGATGCCAGATGTTCAACAAACGAAGGGCTTCTGCAAATAAAAAATAGCCATACCATGTACTTTAGCTAGATTTAATTGAATTTGGCAGCATGATAATACCCCCCACACATCTCAATACAATCAAACAGCAACCTAGGGTACGTAGATGTGACACTCGCTCGACATTCGACCGTGACCTTCTGTTTCGCAGTCGAAGGAGACAAATTTGTCAGCTACTGGGAATTTTAGATTTTTGTCCACGATTGACAGTGAATGTCAGTTCAAGCCAGAAGCCATGATTGTTTACGAAGGAGACATAAAGTCACCTAGCATATTTTGATATGAAATATAACAGTTAATGAAAGAAACCTCTGAATGACTGTTGACATATATGATATCAACGAACAGGAGGGTTAGATAATATATATCACCCAAAATCGCTCTTCTAACAACAAATTCAGTTCGTAATCAACATTATTGCTGTCTAAGGCCCCAACTAATCCTGTGGATCCGAATTCTGCAATCAGACTTCCGAATGTTTGGAGAGCGGATGTGGGAAGAGCTGTGCGCAAGGTAAGAAGTGTAGAACATAAAAGAAACAAAACACTTTCCATATTCATAAGAAATCTATGCCAAAAGCAGAGCGATTTCACGATTCCCGACTCAACAATGAGCATTTGTTTATGAAGCAATATCAAATGGTAATGGCACGAGGCGATCGCGAAAAGGTGAGCGCATTCTGCCCCATCGTCACAAACACATGCAAAGGCAAATCAATAGTTATCCTGAAAAAAAACATGGAACATATGGTACAAGTCAAAATTAGGAATTGCGTCGTACATAAGTCTTGCCACTGATGCCATAAAACTTTGTGAAAGCTTTACCGAGGCCTTGAATATTGTAAACTTGATCAAACTTCTGGACAATAGTCGTATGACGCACTGTGAAATCTTGATAGAATGAGCATGCTCGATTTAAATACATGGATATTGATTTTGAATGGAATATTAACAAGTCAGCGCTGATTGAGTTAAAATCATTACAAAACTTTAAAAAATAATAATAGTGAACTGTCAAGGTTGACACCAGTTGAGAAAATATTACGTTCATGCTTATGTGCATGTAGTATAATGATTATACATGTTGCATCATAATTATAAGGTTTGGGCAGAGATTTCTTTTGTCGCTTTTATTTATCATTGTATTGATTAAGTATTTAAATGTATAGACGTGTGGAACACGGCCGATATCAACTTTTCAGGCTCAGAAACATCAGTATGGCATAATATTAATTAATCTTATCTTTCCAGGATAAAATGGTTTATTTTAGACCCATCATTTTATTTGTGCACTATAGTATATGTTGCCGGCTAAGGGAGGTTACTCAGGTCTACAAGCTCTAATTAACAGGCCGGCTCCCATGAGATTATTCAGGTTATACATTAGTAGCATGACAAAGGGAGATAACTGAAGTAAACCTTTAATGTGAAGGAATTCCCCTCTGCCTTTCGCTTTCGGGGACCATTACAGGCAAGCTGTTTTTCCGTGTTCGTGCATATATTTTCGTGTTTCGCAGCATGTCAGGAAGAGGGAAACCAACGAGAAAGCGGCCGACACGTGGGACAAGAGCTGCCACGAAGAAGAAACGCAAGGAACAAACCCCTTCGCAGTCGTCACCGCCCGGCATGCCCGAAGCAGCGATGGGACAGCAAGATAACTTGGCGACAGCACGTGAACCCAGTCAAGTTCAAGCAGACAGGACGGCGCCTTCCCAGATTTCGTCAGGTAAAAAAATGCGAGTGGGTCAAAACCGACTGGGGGTGAGTTTGTTGACATATCCTTTAATCCAGAAGTTACAAACAATATTACGGAATTGGTTTCCTTACCCACTCAGCTGTTAAGTACACAAACACAGTCAGTCACTTCACACGCACAGCCCCCATGTTTCCCTCCCATACTGTTTACCGGGAGTGAGTTTACCCCTCCCATGACACAATGTGGTGATGATGATTTGGGAGCTAACGTTCCTTCAAGTATCAAGCAAAGATATGTAATGGTAAATATATCAATCTTGCAATGCTGCTGAAATCTGACCGGGAATTACAAGATTATGCTTGTACATCAGCCATTTTCCTTAACTCGGAAAGTCATTTGGAACTGAAACCAAAGGCTTCAGGTAAAGTGATTGAAACCATAACTGAGTGGTCAACTGCATTCACAGTGTATATCAGCATTTATATCAAAAGTCACCCGGAACAGATACAAGGAATGCTCAATACATGAACACAATTCGTCTGGGGGATGTCGTCATACTGGGATTGGTTGGAGAACATATGATGAGCAGTTCAGACTGCGTCAAGCACGAAATCCACAGAATTCATGGGGGTCAATCAATGTAGAGCTTTGGATGTTATACATGCAAGTTCCGTCACAGAATTTTGGCTCGTTCCCCAGAAAGGATAGCCAGTCATTTCATGTCCAGAACACAAACAGAAACTCGACATGCCATGATTACAACTACAGGTATTGCAGTCGAGACAAGTGCAAGTTCAAACACACCTGCTCCAAATGTGGAGGGAATGCCCACCCTGCGTCTAACTGTTTGTCCAAAACACAATCTGGCAAATTTGTATACATTAGGCAGGACCCCAATCAGACCCCAAGTGCTTCAGCTTCATAACAATCATCATGATCATATATCATGTACTTTTCAATTTTATGCTTTCATGTATATATTTTTTTCCTAATTACTTCATTTCATTCTAATCATGTTATTACCTGCTTTACCAATGTGTTTGGATATTGTATGTTGTATGAACAATTATTCATGCATTAATTATGTCTTTTTTACAGATGTTTGGATTGTAGGCTCATCATTTGTCTAATGGTCTCAGCGGCAGAGTTACAGATTGAAATTCACCGAAGTGGTAAACGTCTGAGACCTGCATCACTTCGAGCTTTCCTCCCACATTAAGCTGACATGCCGCGATATAACTGTAATAGTGTTAAAAGCAGCGTTAAACCAAACTCACTCACTCACTCACTCACTCACTTTATTTGTTACATTTACTGCAAAGTTCAATTATTTTTGTCTAGTTTGTCCTATTCGCGTTATAGAGGTCCTCTCTAGCAGGATGTTTAGCATAAATTGCGTGCAGGGTCAGCGCTCACATTAAATTTTCATATTTTATGTAAACTTGAAATTTTCAAAGTTCCATGTAGCAGAGAGCAATGTTGTTGTTGTGCGGCAAGCTCATCATTAAAGGGATTTTGAACATGTTTGATGTTTTGTCATGACAATGAATGCCAGATAGATTCAATTACAATACACCATTCTACTATTTTCAGAACCTGAAAATTATAAATGTTAATGTTGGAAGAAATCTCAGCTTAATTATCTCTGTATGAATATTCTTACAAACTATTCCTTCCATCGTTCTTCCTCTTTTAGTACATACACTTTATAAGACAAACAAGTTTTGAATAATTTGACATACCCAAATGCTGATATTCCCAAATAGCCGAAGCCATCATTGCAACTGCTCGCGACTGATCTGTTTGTTTACTTAAACTGCCAGTAAACAGTAAACTTTGTGCCCTGAAAGTGGAACATGCACACGTTTGCCATCATCAAAAAGCTGGCCCTTGGAGCTGTACATCGCGTTCCCGCACCACACAGGAAAATAACATATGCACTTCAGAGAAGTTGCCATGTGGTGGGATGTTCAGTTATACATCTCGACTCTTACGAAGTGCACACCAAGTAATCAGTATCTATCCGATCTCCATCATTATTTCGTCCAATGACAATATGCGGACATAAGGTGTTCATGTTAACAGCCCTGATGACTAAACAAAGACACTCGCTTTCTCGCCCTTAGATGATGTCTTGCCATTTCATTTCGTAAAGACTAAAACATCATATTACAGCACCATCGTTTTGCGAACTCCACATCGCCTCCGAAACCGGGAACCTGTCAAAAGTGAAACTCATCTTGTCCCAGGGACGGGCGGACATTAAAGCAAAGAGTGAATTGGTTGGACACCGGTGATGTTGGCAGCTGGTAATGGGCACCGAGAAGTGTTTGAGGAGAGGTGGAGATGGTGAAGTATGTCCTCTCACATGACATGGAGGACATCAACAGTAGAGGATGGAAGAAGAGGACACCAGTGATGGTGGCAGCATTGCGTGGACATAAAGAAGAGGTAGAGTTACTCGTGGGTGAAGGAGCTGATGTGTCACTCGTATCTGAGAGGGGTGCAAACATCCTTCATCTTGCCAGTCGGGGAGGACATGTGGAGGTGGTCAAGTATGTCCTCTCACAAGTCATGGTGCGTATCAACAGTAGAGGATGGAAGAAGAGGACACCAGTGATGGCGGCAGCATTGCATGGACATAAAGAAGTGGTAGAGTTACTCGTGGGTGAAGGAGTTGATGTGTCACTCGTATCTGAGAGGGGTGAAAACATCCTTCATCTTGCCCATCGGGGAGGACATGTGGAGGTGGTCAAGTATGTCCTCTCACAGGACAAGGTGGGCATCAACGCCAAAAACAACAAAGGACAAACAGCAGCCAAGATAGCAATATCCCAGGATCGAGGAGACATGCTTTATCTTCTTGTGTCGCATGGTGCTGTCATGAAATGTTTGCGTAGACATTCATATTATAAAAGACAATGTGTTGAATACAATTATGACGTTCACGTGTTGAATACATTGATGTTGTTACAGACATTGAAGTGTAGAATAAAATCATGTTGTTATTGACACTGGCATGTGGAATAAAATCATGTCATTACGGATATTGACGTGTTTATTACATTGATGTTGTTACGGACATTGACGTGTGGAATGTTGTTACTTACATTGAAGTGTTAACCCTCAGCATAGCCAAAAGAAACATCTAGTGTCGATTGTACGATTCAGACTATATCATGTGCTAGTGTTTATGATCCACTATCAAATAGTCCGTTGGTTGGTATGTTGTTTTACGCCGCACTCAGCAATATTCCAGCTATATGACGGCGTTCTGTAAATAATCGAGTCTGGACCAGGCAATCCAGTGATTGATATCATGAGCATCCACGCAATTGGGAGCAATGACATGCATAAACAAAGTCAGCGAGCCTGACCACCTGATCCCGTTAGTCGCCTCTTACGACAAGCATAGTCACCTTTTACGGCAAGCATGGGTTGCTGAAGAGCTATTCTACCCCGGATCTTCACGGGTCACTATCAAATAGTAATGAGACCAGGGGTTCGCGAAAAGGTCAGCGTATCCTGTCCCCCCAGTGGCACTCGTCACAAACACGTGCAAAGTCAAGTCAATACTTTACCTGAAAAAAAACCCACGGAAACATATGGTACAAGTCATAATAAGGAATTGCATTGGACATAATTTTTGTCACTGATGCGTCAAATTTGGAAATGTCCTTCACATGTCTACCATAAAGCTTTTTGAAAGCTTTACTGAGGCCTTGAATGTTATTGCCTTGATCAAACTTCACGCTCTTTGAAATCTTTGAAGAGAGCACATGCTCGATTGTATCTCAAAAGTTGTGAAATATATGCACCAAAGGCTGGAGCTGCTGGAATATTGCTCGACATATAAGGAAAGTTGACTAGTAGAAAGTTGAAGCCATCTCTTGTCATCGAGTCTTGTGAGTTTTGTCAATCTGAATCTTTATGCATAGATCTTAAAACCTCTACTTCTTGCCTGATTACTTGCAAATATTAGGAAGATGTTGACAGTGAGGAAGTTCAGCATTTGACGTATTGTCTTCTCACTACACTTCAGATGGCAATTGCTTTCATTTTTCACAAATAGTCTTGAACCTCCGAATATAGATATATAAATGTATCTGTGGTCACCACGTTTTGTAACAAAAGCCCCATCGATCAAGGAATGAAGTTTTCCCTTAAGTTTGTCCTGGGGGATAGTGGTGTCGAAATTGTGAAACGAAATATTTTGACAGAATGGAGCATGGTTCTTTTCCGAGAATGCAAAACGTCAAGCAAATCCTTTGAGATTTTGAGAAACGACATGGCATTAATTCAATCTCATTAAAATCAGATCTTAGTTCTCGCTACCGCTAAACAAAGATCTGAGGACATCCCATTACGGGTCACGTCAGATCGACCTTTTGCGAACTCTGACCGACCTATGGAATTACTGACAAGTAATCAGTATTCACTGAATTTACACGTGGTTTCTCATGCTGCATTACACAAGAATTTTCACATTCTGAATATACACAAAACATATTTGAAAGGTTCTTAACGATATTATTGATAGACTAACACTACGGATGGCTGAAGTTCGCCCTGATATAGCAAGCAATGCTGAAAACCAATGTGGTCAGCCCACAGAAGGCTGGACCAGATAACATTGTGATTGACACCATGAGCATCGACCCACGCATTTGGGATATGAGGACATGCATCAACCAAATCAGCGAGCCCGACCACCCGGTACCCTTAGTCGCTTCTTACGACAAGCATAGTCGCCTTTTATGACAAGCATGGGTTGTAGTTCAATTCCATTTATTCATGAATATTTATTTCACACAAGAGGTCCTCAGATATGTCCCTATGGCCTGACTTATATCTACACAATAACACAATACACATCTAGATGATGTAATGAAGAGTACAGTAGTATTCCAATTTGAGTCTGAACTATCTCTTTGAATCCCAGAAGATTAGGGAACCCTCCAGAAAGAGCCTCTCAGGTCAGAGTGAGTGAGAAAGGTTTTACGCCGCTTTTAGCAATATTCCAGCAATATCACGGCGGGGGACACCAGAAATGGGTTTCACACATTGTACCCATGTCGGGAATCGAACCCGGGTGTTAGGCGTGTCTCAGGTCAGAGGGGAGATCTACTCTCTGACCACTAACAAAATGCTATGTCATCCTAATTCTTTGTTCTCTTTGTCTTTCTTTTTTTTCAGAACCAAAACCGAAAAGAGTCTTATCTCTCTGTCAAAGCTCTGGTCTCTTTACTCACTTATTTGCATTTGGCAATTGATGATAGAGATTCAAACACTACTATTGTGCCTTTCCTGACAAACCCGTTCCCATTTGCCATCTGGTCATTCTTGTATACAAACAGTACAAGGAAACTTCCAGACTTTTTGTCGCCCGAAATAATATTAAAAAGTATTATGTCAGTTCACAATTAATGGCCGACTGTTCCCTTGCTCCAGACATGATACATTCCAAAATACAAATAGTGGTCAGTGTTGACAATACTGTGGGGTACAATTGTTTGAAGCACCCGTAATTTGTCAAGGCCCCGGCCACACCTCTATCTCACTGCCTTCCGAGCAGGGGGGCACTCGTGAAGAGCAACCTCCCCGTGGTGAGTGCTGGGTAACGCTAATAGCTCTTCCCCCGTGTGGATCCGGGGTAGAATTTGTCCTCAGCACCACATTGCTGGTCGTATGGGGCGACTAAATTGGGCAACCCGTTTGCCGTGGGTTGCGCCCCTGTGTCGGCGGAGGATGGGATTCTGGTGGTTGAGGGCATTGGAGCCAGGAACCGGTGTTCCTTTTGCCCAATACACCACTTCGACCCTTACTTCGCCTAGACGGGTGGTAGAATTGGCCCGATTCTATTAATCGGCCGGTCACGCCATGCCCTGTGCATGGAAAACATATCTCAGAAATATCATATTAAAAACTGGTTCATTCTGAAATATGATATCGTTATTAATGCGGATATATATTATTGCCTAGAGTCCTATGCCAGAAGGCGGTGGCTCGTGGGCCAATCTGGTGATACGGACCTCTGAAATCTGTGGTTCTTGGGAATTATGTCATGGCCGAACCAGCCTAACATTACTTATTTTAGTTTTCATAGCTTTCAAGTCTTTATTTCTGGTGTATAACATCCCTGTTAACCTTGGTGTTGTAGCCTGGCTTCCACTGCACACCGTCCTTGTTGACAGTCGATGGCGGGTGAGGAGCAGGGATGCTGTAACTTATACTTACAACATGTCCCTGAATCTGCACTCTGGTTCTTCAAAAGCAAACAAGCGTAGGCATACAGATTCAGTCTCATCTGATGAAGATGTCTCACCACAAGTGGCCGATTCTTGGCCTAGGTTCATCGTCATTTCATCCGCTGATGACTCTCCTTTAAAGCTCAATCCTTTTGTCATCTCCAAGGGAATCAGAAGTACCTGTGGGGAAGTCAAGAATGCCACTCGTCTTCGTTCTGGCTCAGTCCTTGTTGAATGTGCACGGAGATAACAAAACGTTAATCTACTGGGTCTCCAGCAGTTTGTTAACACAAAGGTTGTTGTCTTAGTGCACAAAACACTGAATTCTTGCTGAGGTATTGTGAGAGATCGCGTTCGCTGTCTGTCAGACATGACAGAAGAAGACACAGCAACTGAATTACAAAACCAAGGCGTCACTGCAGTAAAACGGTTTACCAGAAAGACACAGGCAGGTAAGATTGTCAACACACAAACCTATCTTTTCACTTTTTCAATGTCAACTCTTCCTAAATCAATAAAAGCTGGTTACTTTAACATCGGAGTGGAGGTTTATGTCCCAAATCCACTCCGATGTTATAATTGTCAAAAGTTCGGCCACGGAGCTAAATTTTGCACTGCTAAGACAAGATGCTTCCGTTGTAGTGGAACTCATGAGAGTTCAGAACTGCACAAATGACATCAAATGTGCAAACTGCGACGGGAAGCACTTGTCCTCATCTAACTTCTGTCCTGTATTTGAACATGAAGCAAAAATATTAAAAATCAAAGTTCCAAACAACATTTCTTACACTGAAGCCAAAAAGTTTCTTCCATTGCAAACCCCTTCAACCAAAACGTATTCAGCTGCTGTGTCCTCTCCAACTCAAGGAGTCAAAGTATCAACGATCTCTACACAAACCGATATCTCTTTGGTTCAGGATGAACAGATTACCATTGATGAAACCAAGACATCTCACATTGTCCAGTCAAAAGTAACATCTGCTTCCCAAACAGAGACCCTGCTATCGACACCTACAAATACTGAACTAATAGAACCAGAAACAATCACCAAAATGCAAACAGTTTAGGGCGAAGCCCACTTGTCAAAACAGACTAAAAAACAATTGAAGAAAAAAGGCCAGGCACTCCACCTATAGAGGTTCATAAAAAATTGAGCTTCTGGAGATGGAGGTTAGTCCCTCAGTCCCAGTCCATGGGAATGGACCTCCCTCCCGCTCACGATCTCAAGTTGAGCCACCATGAGTAGCTCTCCTAATTTAATCCAATGGAATTGTAGAGGACTTCGGAACAATTTCAATGACCTTCAGCTATTAATTCAGGATTTTGCTTACAAGAAACTTTCCTTAAAACAACAGATAATTTTTATTTACGACAGTACGATTCTTACCATTGCTTTTCCCCTCCAGGGGATAAAGCAACTGGAGGGTCCTCTGTTATGGTGAGGCAGGGCGTCATTCACAGTCCTGTTCCTCTCAAAACCCCCACTTCATGCTGTTGCAGTACGTGTGACATTAAATATTGTTTTTACTTTGTGTTCTTTGTATTTACCAACCTCGTACTCTCTCCGACAGTCTGATCTTCAGGCACTATATGGCCAACTCACTACGCCTTGTGTTGTCATGGGAGATTTGAATGGCCATAACCCTCTTTGGGGTAGTTGTGACACTAATAATAAAGGAAAGGTACTTGAGGATTTTCTCTTAAATAACGATTTGTGCTTTTTTAATGATGGTTCTCACACATATCTACATCATGCAACTGCCACTCACTCTTGTTTAG